TCTTCATTGGTCCTTATCCTCTTCCGTACAATCGTCCACCCAACAAGAGAATTGGGGGAGGAAAAAAAAAAAAGATACGACCCATTCAGAGGCAAAATTGAAGATTCAGATATGTAGAGCAGGTGTGCAAAAGACTTTCGCCAACAAGGGAGTTGAACCGCATGCACTGCTGACCACAACATCTGTCGTTTTCGAGGCTATGGAGGTGATTTTTTTTTTCTTTCGGAAGCACCGCAGTAGTTTGCGCGGTGAGTGACAGCAGATGATCAAGTGCTTAAAGATGAGTACAGATGGAAGCGGGGCCAGGGTTGGTCTCTGTCAGGGGCAGAGTTTCAGTCCCATGCCTTGGTGGCATATGAGGCACGAGAAGCAAGCGGGAATAGTTTGAGAGCATTTGTGCGCTCGACTGCAGAGACTCAAGGTGAGCCCCGGCCTGACCCATTGCCACATCCCAGGTGAAAACCCCAACGAGGTCTTTCGGCGTCATAACGAGCTTCTAATTGGCAGTTCACTTGTCCCTGAAGGTCAGAGTGCGTGTTCCTGTGCCAGCAGCGGGAGAGGCTGCCACTTCCTGCCAACAGCCGTGTTACGCCACTCACGAATATCCCTCTGTGCAAACAAAGTCATGAAAGGACAAGGGAACTTGGATCAGAAGCAAAAAGCAAGAGTTTACTGAGGATAAAGGGGAAAATGCAAAGTAGAAATCTCCAATATATTATTTGTCAATCTAGGAGGTGGGCAAGTGGTTAGCACACCTGGCTCACAGTTCTGAGGCCCAGGGTCTGAATCCCAGCTCAGGCTTTGCTGTGTGAAGTTTGCATGTTCTGCAAGTGCTTGTGTGAAATACGTCAAGCAAACACATGGGCCACATCTCATTTCTGTTTGCAAGCTCCCCACTCTCAATCTTGAGACATGAGACACTCGTTCTTCATGATGGCACTTCATGGAGACGGCAATTATAGACTTGGCTTCCCCTTTTTATACACCCCCCCAGCCTCCAGCACCAAGTCATCTGAGGAAAAAAAGAGCTCAAACTCACCCCTGACCCGAATGAGGGCAAGCAGTGTCGACAATGGATTAACAAGATACCTAAATATATTCATTTTAAGAAAATGAATCAAGCATTGCACGAAGGGTGAATGTTGTGAAATTATCTGAAATATCTATAACTACTCCGAAATGGAGGCATTTGTTGTTTGAAAATATTAAGGGCAGTCAATGAGTCAGCCCTGCACAAAAATAAGTCAATGAATAGATGCTCCCATCTAGTGGCATTTTTGCTGCAGTTCAGCTAATACATTCTAATCTAAAGTGCCCCCTCTTGCGACTAATACAACGTATTGCAATTGCAAAGCTACCAAAAAATATACACTGTGTATGTACAGCTGAACTGTGACTCCTTGACATGTAGGTGAAATAAATACCCACAATTACGAAACCATGATATAAATAATTGTCATACATTCGGTGTTGGTGCTCAGTTCCTTTCTGTATTATGTACATTCAAATGAAAAGGCATACAACCAACAAAGCATCAGTTTAAAAGGACAACTGAGCCACGTTTAAAAAAAAAAAAAAAAAAAAACATCCAGGCTTTAAGAGTGTGAAGCAAAAATAAGAGACATGGTTGAGTGCCCCCAAGGTTGAAAGTAGAAATTACAGATAAGACCCCTGACATTACAAAATGGCTACAGAACACAAATGGAAAAATGTATGCATTTAAAATGCATATTTACACACGGACAGCAGTTAAATGAGTGAATTCCAAAGAATGTGTTGGAAAACAAATAAAGAACAGCACTCTACAACACCAAGACAATCTTTTGAAATAGACATGAGGGGGGGGGGGGCAAATGAAAAGCATCCAATCTTGCTCACTATTTTACAAATCAACAGGAGGCGGCTTGCTGAGATCTAGGATTCACAAAGTGACGTGAGTCGATTCTGTTGGAGAAAGAGAGAAAAACGATTTTAAAACGAATGGCACTCCAATCACTATATATGCATTGTTTAAATTCAATACGGGCTCTTCCAAACAGGCATCGTCCCGCGACGTAACGTGTTAGCTCTTGGGCGTGTAGCGTCAACCTAGCATCATCCAGATATGGTGGCGATACACTACCTGCAAACGGCGAATGCTCCTCAAGGCCGTTTCACCCAGCATGGACAGGTCCACTGAATCCACCTGACTGGCCAGCAGCTGAATACTCTGAAAGGAGCCCCACAGGAAGGTAATCGCAAAAAAAGATTCACAAGTACATGGCAGCCATTTTCTTTTTCAACCGATGTCACCTTTGGAGGCAGATTTTATTTAAGGGCAGGTTCTAAAGTGCACTCACCTCTCCATTCCCAACCGGAACATTGATGACAATTTCTTCATTGTCGGCTGAGATGGGGGAGCCGTTGACGGAAATGCTGAAGACCCTCTCTTTGTGGCGAGGAACTCTCACAGCTGGAGTCTTGGGAAGCCTGAGATCGGGAACATTTGAAAATTGAGTCACGCGTTTGGACCTTTGGCCAAACGACATCCTCACAAATGCAGCCGCGAGCAACGCCAGGTGCGGCGCCACACGTGGAGCAGTTACCTGGGGTCAAAGCGTGGCGTGATGAGGGGAGTTGGGCCCATCAAAGAGGAGTCCAGCAGGGTCCTGGCAGGAGTCACCACAGGATTCCTCGATGATCTAAATTTAGAGAGCACGTTAATCAAGACAATACTATCTTGTAAAATCTTTTTTTTTTAATTGAACCCACCCCCAGGATGTCCTGAAGTCGATATGTGTGTCATTATTATTATTATTGTGTGTGTGCACTACAGCCACAGTTATTTTCCACACCTAACAATTAACTGGAGCACAAAGTCAAAGTCACAAACTCATTCCTGTCCTACCTTGTGATTGGTGCATTTTGTTGGCTGACTGACAGAGCTCTGGCTCGTTTTGATGTCGTCGGGGGCTTCCTTGAAGTTTTCCCCTGAATGCAGAAGAAGTGGTTACAGACAGACACTGTGCACAGATGACGTATGGTGCATGTCAATCAAAATGAGCAAATCACCTTCCTCAACGTTCTGGGTGTGTTTTCATCATTCGGACTGGATTTGGTTGCGGCCTTCTTCTTCGACACTGTGTGTGTGGTGGCAAGAAATAAAGTCATTGCGTCTGCTTTTAAAAAGCATCAAGAGGCTAATTCCATCTATTTTTTTTATAATGATAATACATAATCTCATCTCCACGAATATGATCGAAAGGTGACAAATTATGGAAAAATATCTTTTTAATTGTTTGTCAACAAATACCGGATCTATCTTCGCGACCAGTTCTGCGCTTCCATAACACAGTGAAACAGCGCTTAAACATTTCCTGCTGTGGAGGGAGTCTCGGGGTCTCCAATACTGCCACAAGTCGCTTGATTTGTCACATGACATTCTCCTATCGTCGCTAAAAGTGGTCGACGGAGTCGTTAGGTTGGCAACACTCGATTAGCACCTTAAGTGAACCGTACAGGAAGCAAATATTATGTGCAGCATATTTCTTGACCCTTTATGTATTTATACCTAAGAATGACGGGGACACCAGGGAACTGTTTTAAATTGTGTCCATCATAAAATATTGGGGGGAAAAAAACTACTATCATACTTTTCTTAACTGCTTTCATGAGAACTGCATGGTCTTCTGCCACAACATTCTCCACAATTGCTGCCTCCTCTTGCCTCTGCGAACAGATATGACAGATACTCTAAGCAAGGTTAAAAAGGAAGACGAAGCCCGGGACACTTAATCGCAACTCACTTTAGCATCATCCGCTTCCGGGGACTTGAGTTTCTCAACCTCTGCAGATAGACAAGGAAAACGTTGAATTGGTTTTCCATGTTTAAACCACTGCACTATAGTGCGTGATTGTGTGTGTGTGTGTGTGGGGGAACCGACCCGATGGATGATCCCAGCCGCGTGCAAGTGTTTGATTCCGCACAGCATCTGGTAGAGCAGGTAGGACAGCCTCTCGTGGTCCAGCTCCATCTGAATCACCTGGCAGAGGTTGGCGTGTGTGTTTGTTGGTTGTGTGGTGTTTGGGGGGGGGGGGGGGGGGGGGGCTTGTCTAACTTTGACAAATTCTAACAATGAGCAAACAAATGATGGCTGGCAATAAGAAGTATTAATGAGATGCAGTACTACACTTACTGAAATGTTCCATCCATGTCATTTTGCGAACATTGGCTGGGAGCTTAATGAGTGCCACATTATAGCTGTTGCGAAGATCTCTCAACATCTGGTTCTTCCTCTCTTGCAGCTGTCCAAGTCTTGTTTTTACTGTGAAAACAATATTTCAAATTAACGAAAGAAACATCAATGGACACAAACACTAAAGAACGTACTCAAGTGGACAAAAAGAAACAAAATGACAGTGATGGGTAAGCATGATTCCGAATAACTATGTCTAACTTTTCCATCCTATTCAACACATTTTTACCTTCACTGTCGAAATCATCCAGAAATGCTTCGAGTTTGACCATCTTGGGTGTTTTTTTCCCTTGCTTAGTAGGTCTTTTCCTGGGAGCCATGACTGGATGTAGAAAACAAGCGAAAGCAAAACGTTTTAGTCGTAAAGTACATAGCAAATAAAGAAAACATTGACAAAATAGGCTACCATGAATATGCAGCAAAGTCGTTATGCTCCTTTGAGCCGCATGGAAGTTGCAAGCTATTTTCGACTTTAGCGTTTAGATTCCGATCGTCCAAACCGTTTCATTCGGCCAACAAAATCTACAATGCTCCAACATTTCAAGTGTTGTAGGTTTATAAGCAATATTACCTGAACTCTTTTCGCTCACTTTCCCCTTTTAAATTGCGTTCTTTATGACCAATTCCTCCTTTCAAGGCGGTTTGCAAACCGTAGTGTAATTTGAAATGTCATTCGGGGAGTGGCTAATGCAACAAATGCACCAATCAGCTCTCGATTTTGACGTCACTTCCCGTTGAGAGCAGGCCAATGAGGGTCCAAAACGTCATCTATTTACAGTGTCTGCCCGGAAATCGGCGAAAAACCAACATGGAACCATGTGAATTGTAAAACAGGAGCGACTTGCATTTTTTTTTTTTTTTAAAGGGAACCCGATAGAAATGTGTTGGTGTCTATTCGATGTGCACCAATTGTTCAGATCGATCCCAAAATGTCGAAATCTGCCCTACTAACCATCCATCAAGCATTGAGGAGAAGCTTCCATAGTCTGGAAAACAACCAAAAATTGTGGAAGAGCGTCTTAGCAGAGTGCATCCCTCTGATGGCATCTCTAGAGAACTTGGCAGAGCAGTCGCGGGCGCTTTCCAACGTCCAGATCTCCAACACGCCGCTCAAAGACTTTCCAGAAGTGGAGGAACTGCTGCGTTTCAAGCTCTCGCAAGCTATGGATACGGTCTTGTGCAAACTCCATGAAAATATGTAAGTAGATATGCGTCACTAACAAAAACAAGTGGACAAAGATGGTGGTAAATGGTCAAAATTTAATGCAATTAAAGACATTAGGTGACCTTCATCGTTGTGGTCCATGTGCTAGTTTTACACTCCTGTGATTATTCCCCTGACTTTTTCTCTCAGGGCTTCACTCCAGTCACTGAGAGACTCTCTGACAAACCAGGTCTCGACAGTCGTCCAGTTGTATGAACAAAACACAGACACTCTGGATTTGGTCACAGTAACCGAGCGTTCAGCCACCATCCCATCAGTCGTCGACATGCTGGAGTGGCTGCAGGACGCAGAGCGTCACTATCGACAACAGTATCCTCTTGGCGAATGCTTGGATATGGAATTGTATCACGTAGTCTGTTGTGCCCATCCTCAAATCGTGCATTCAGATTCGTGAGGAGGAAGACTCTGCTGCACGCACTCAGTTCAGGCAACCTCAACTTTTTGGCAACGGCTACCAAAAAATGGAAAGAATTGGACACTCCCGGCGCAGAGGATCAAATCACAGGTTGATGTTAATTATTAGTTCATGCTGTTAACATTGAAAGAATATGTGCTACACTCTCAAGCGCATTGATGTGAGTTCATGTGATGTTTCGTGTGAACGAACGACCGTTAAAATTGCCTTGGTTGAATGTCGGATCTTGCTTGTAAGGCTCATGAACTAATCCCTTCTTTGTCCAATTTCAGATACACTTTGCAAAGTGTCCTTCTTCGTGGAGTCGAGCTAAGCGGAGGGGAAACGGACACGGGCGCAACGCTCGCGCTCTCCGACGGCATCGTAACGGCATGAGTGCGAGTTTCAGAAGAACCCATACAGAATTGGGAGATTTATTCACCAGATCGATGACAAGAGATAACAATAGGGTCTTGTTTTGGAACGATGAGAACAGCTTCATTGTGTTTCCTTTATTGACAAAATGTCTCCCAATGAAATACTGTATATTTAATCATACGGCACACAAAAGGACAGGGACACACCCACATAGAGGCTGTAAATGACAGGAAATAACTAGTTAGCGAAACATAACACATTAAACAATCATCAGAAACCTGAGTGTTTTGTTTTTTTTGTTTTTTGCAGAACACAAAAGTAAATAGGCAAACATCAATATAGTCACTGAATAATTGAATAGCTTATTTTTGTTGTCATTTTGCCATTGCTTCTCGACAGCTGGAATGTCTTCTCTCTACACGTATTCTTTAAGTGGGAGACTGGTCGACGTGATGGTTTTGGGGAGGTTGGGCGCAGGCGCGGGTGAATTAGCAAAGCTGCGACCCGCGTAGCCCCTGCGGTACCTGCCGCCCCGCTGCGCGAGAGGGCACGTGCTGCTTAGCACAGCTCCACCGATCATCAAAATAACCGCGGCGGCCCAGCCCAGATAAATGGCCTGCCCGAGCTCACGTTTATGCATAACGGGCACGTTGGGGTTGTAGAAATCCTGAATGACCGTGTTAGCGGTCCAGGAAACGGGAATGAGAACGCACAGGCCCGTCAGGATGAAAAGAATCCCACCGGAGAGCGCGATGCCCGCCTTAGCTTGGCGGTCATCTCCGGCGCAGGTGGTGCACTTCATGCCGCAGCAGGACACGGTGCAGGAGAGCCAGCCCATGAAAATGGCCAAACACATGAGGGCGCGTGCGGCCTGGATGTCGGGAGGCAAGGCCAGCATGGAGTCGTATGTCTTGCACTGCATGTGACCGGTGGTCTGGTAGATGCAGCTCATCCAGATGCCCTCCCATTTGATTTCTGACGTCAGGATGTTGCTGCCGATAAAGGCCGACACCTTCCACTGAGGCAGGGCCGTGACCGCTATCGCCATGATCCAGCCGGTCACGGCGCAGGTGAAGCTGATGAGTTGCATGCCGGTGTTGACCATGGCGACAGCCGAGGATTGGCCACGGCGTCGGAGCTGAGCGGCAGTTTTGAAGGATGGAAATTGTTCTCTGGTCTTTGTCGGGATTAAAATCTCTCGAGTGTACTTATTGGCTCCCTATCTGCACCCAAGTGACTTCTCTCAGCTCACAGTGTCCCCTTCCGCCTGGCATCCAGTTGCTGCATCGACCAAGCGTAAATCTCCCCATCCACCCCCCATGACTTTCTCCTGGTATCAAGACATCCATCCGGTGAAAAGGATCACAGTGCCACACACTTTCTCCTCCCTCTCATTCCTGAGCTTGACTCAATGCATTATTGAGTAGGCAATAGCTGCGCGGCCACCTGTGGCAGCCCTCGGATGCAGGATTGATGCGGGGCACAGCGGAATTGAAGTTCAGCAGAGTCCGGAAATTGGTCTGAGCCCCGACTTTCCTCGAGTGGAATTCCCAAGCTGCGTTGTGTTTCAAGTTTAACAATCAGACTTGAGTGCGAAACTTTACCTTGATGGGTCCGGCTCGCACCTCATGTCAAGCAAGGTTAAATCTGCTGCCCTTATTTTCAATAAAAAATATCCACGTCGTCTTGTGAGCGATTCCCAAAAGAAAAGATCTTCGAGAAAGGTGAAAACACGCAGCGGGGACTCTTCATTCAACGTCGTCGCTGTGCAGATAACAAGCAATGTGGGCTCCGAGCCTTGATGAAGCCACTTCAGACTTCAGCTGCCGCTCGGCTTTACCCTTCCCCCCCTCCTTCCAACCGCCTCGAATGCTAACAGTGAAGATCTTCCATTCGACCTGCTATTTCAACACCGAATCCGACCCCTTTCGGACAAGTGTGACCTGCCGTCTTCAAATGTGGGGGGCGCAATACTGACCGTGTCCTCCATTCACATGGATGCAGTGGGTAGGGGGTGGGGGGGTCGAAGGGCAGGGGTGGGTAACAAAAGGAGGTAGAAATGGATGGATGGTGGGTGGATCGGTTGATAACAACATTGGGTCCTCCACAATGGGGATGTACGCGCAGTTTTACGTCATGGCGCGTTTCTTTTAAAAAGGAGCAGGTCCAAAAGTTGCTTTTTTTTTAACACCACAATGAAAGGATTAACAGTCATTTTGAAAATAGCAAAAAGCCATAAGTAAAAACGTTGGCCATTGTACCCTGAAAGAAAAAAAAAAAAAGGTTTGAGACCCTGCCGTGTGATTTCTACACGATTGTGATGGAATTGTTTTACGGGTAAAATACCCAACATAAAAAAGGCATTTTAAACTTTTTAAATCAATACTGTTCTTCTCCCCCACTTGCATTATGTACACCCAACCTCCATGTGCTCATGAATTAAATATGTCATGATGAAGATCTGTGTTTCGGGTTTCCTTCTGTCGCACAGCTCACCGAGGGAACAGTGGTCATGACAACAGGTTGGGACAGGGGGGGGGGGGGGGGGGGGGGGGGGTGTCAATGTGAGGTCTCCATTGTGAGATTTGTGGGCAGAAAACGCCCTCTAGTGACAAAATGGATGCACACAGAGGCCTGACAGAGCAAAAATGATCAGAAGACACAATGTTACGGGCATAAAATACCAATTTATTACTTTGCACATTAACACAAGAGTTCCCTGCAGGCTAAAAAAAAAAAAAATGTACTTGAGCATTTTGTAATAGCAATACCGTGTGAATGGCCCAATACGAGGGAGGGGGCTCTACAACATGCCCCAGCTCTGCTCAGAAAGTGTTGGACAGCTCCATCCATTGGATTGAAGAATTCCAATGCTTTCTATTGCTATTAGGGAACACTGACAAAATTGTAGAGTAGAGCTAAAATGACCCCCCCCAAAAAAAAAAAAATTTTAAAAAATACAAAGAACTCCATTAAAGATAAGTGATATAACAAAGTGATCATGGGAATTTGAACAGCTTCTCATGCTCTCTCCCCATTTGGGACAGAAATTTCATTTCTAATATGCGACTTGTTAGGGGGTGGGGGGTGTTGCCATGGAGACAGGAGACACCCCAAAAAAAGGCTCGGCCACAGGTACAAACCAGGAAGAAGACAATGTGGAGGCTCACGACTGTAACTAGGTAAAGAGGAGAAGGGGGTGCTCTTAAACTGGCCCGTATTTGAACAAAGTACCTCGTTTGAATTTGAACGTGGCCCAAAGAGCAGACCCCCCTCCCCCCACAACACGTCTCCGCCTTACAAAACAAAATTGACATTGTGTGGGAATCTTAAACAAAAAACAGATATTGCTAAACAGTTTCAACAAAGTGATCAACATTTACACCCAAAAAGATTGATTTTTTTTTTCTTTATCCTTATAAATATGATTCCAAAAACGTGTTTTTTTGTTTCCTTTTAAGTAGGAGAATAGTTTGGCATGCAGGCAAGCAAAAATCTAGTTAATGAAAAGGATCTAAAGTCTATAACTATATCACCAAATGCACATCCCCACTGATTGATACAAGCAAATGAAACGTGGTGGGGGAAAAAAAAATAAAATACAGGGACGACAGTAGACCAAAAACCACAATGGCAAGAACGACAGCTTTGTTTTTCCTGCATTTTAACCATCCAACTGGGCTATATTGCTTTTGTGCTGCCATTTTACAAACAGCACACGATGGTTAATCCGACTTTGCCTTCGGCGAAATATTCAATCGGCAAAAATGAATATTAAACCACAGCCCCCATTTGCCTTCAAGCGCCTCCTTTCACTTCAAGTTCCGGACAAGCCTCCCTCTCTCTCGGCTTGATGCCAACGCGCACGCCTTCAACAGGTAAGTGCTCAAACTCATTCCGAATAAACCTGCTGCTTTACGGGTGGTTTATTACAAAAGGGTTTTACCTCGAGCTGTACCCCCCTGATGAGGCGTGCGCGGCGACTGCCAGCCCGCACACTGTCGGCTTTCCAGAAGCAACGCTCGGAGGGCGCCGCTTGCGCAACTACCTAACGGCAAACAATGCTTTCAATGGGTGTCAAGGGGGTGTGCTCACGCTAAAGTCGATTCGTTCAATCCAGTGTTTAAAAAAAATAAAAAATAAATGCATGAGAAACTCACACCTTGTATAGCAAAGACTTTAAGAGTTAAAAGGGGTATACATCAAATACAGTCATTGAAACTATTTAATTAGGAAAAAAAAAAATCTCATTGCCTATTGCAAACCGCTTTAAAAACAACCCTCCCCCACCCCCAATCTAGCTCCACTACAAGTACGATCCCTGATTGTCTCCAGCCAACTGGTCAAAAACCGGCACACAGTGACACACAGAGGCAGATCTGTTTCATCACTACGGAGTGCTACACAAAAGCCCCAAATTGCCACAAAGCTTCAAGCTGTCCTTGGACCAACAAAGGAAGCATGAGTTTATCCATCCCAGGGGGGGAGTTGGGGGGCACATCTCCTCGCCATTAGCCGGGATGCTACAACAAAATTCCAACCGCCCTTGACCTGCAGCCCCTGAACTACTTGGAAAAAGATTCACCGCAACTGACTTAAAAAAAATGTTTTAAAAAAAGTCAAAAATCACAACAATTACAACACCGACAACCACGACAACGTCATCAACGGTAGCACTAAATTCTAAACAGTTGGGTTTTTTTAAAAGATAACCACAAAAACATCCTTATATTAAATTTTTTTTACAAATCTGATTTATTGATTCGTATGTATAAATGCATAAAGGTAATAGAGATCGAGAGTGTCCTCTGTTACTTGCCTAGCGTCCCGGGTCAGTGCAATGAATTGGCCGTCATTTGGAAATGAGACCTCAATAGATAACAAAAAAATATATATACGACTGATTTCTGGCGCTAAAAATTACCACTAAAAGATATTAAAAAAAATATTCCAGCAGTCTCATCATAAAGTCTTTCAGATAATCAGGTCCAAAGAAAAATCCAATTCGTCACACCGCTAATACGACCACTGTGCTGCCGTTTGGGTTTTTTTTTTGTCGCCAAACAGGTCCCGACCTCTGACATCACTGTCCCTCAGATGAAATGTCACGCACAACTGGAAATCAATCGTCGCGCGTGTGCAAATCCCGCTCGTCGTCGTCAAGGTGTTACCCGATGTGAATCAATACGTGACCCAGGACTGCTAGAAATCCCCCCACGACGCCTCAAACGAGGCCTGCTGAAGTCATTTCTCTCAAAGCTGCTCTAGAGATGTAAATATACTTTTTATATGTACTGTACGCGTGAATAGAAAAAAAACAACAACAAATCTGAGGCATATACAGCAGTTATCTCCTCAATTTCCCTTTACAATTCAGTGGCCTGCCATGAAAAACATGTGGACACGCAAACGCACACGCACTCAAACCGACAGCACAACGTATTTACAGAGACGCGCACGCATACACCGGCTACTCGTTCGCAAGGATGGGAGGAAAGTAGGAATGGGTATGGACACCCAGGTCACCTCGTTTGTAAAAGACTCACGGAGGAAAAAAGTTAAAACACTCATAAAAAGGAAAAAATATATATCATATATGTATATATATACTCATTCTCAAAAGGTCAAACCCCCCTCCATCTCCTTATTTGGAGTTCCCTCCCGACCACCCAATAAAACCCAAGACCTTGTGACAGATTTTGCCCTGGTGGGCTTTGAGGTAAAAGTAGATCAGAGTCCTGCTTAGCTGGGAGAGCGAAAGAGCTTCGTCGACGCAAGTGGTGCCGAAACACTCCGTAGCTCAGTGTATCTTAAAAATACGAGTGCAGACATTCAGATTCAGAAAATAAAATAAAATCAAACACAAAATAATGGCTCAATTAGTAGTAGTATGTATGTGTGTGTCTGTTTTTTTTTTTTGTTATTTTCCTGTCATTTTCCTCTGCGCATTGGAAACCCCTGCGGGTTTGCAGTGCTGAATTGCTGGTTCGGACGGCGACTTGACTCGGGGGAACACTGGACTGAGCCTCGTTTCATTCGAAAGCTAGTGGACACAGAATCCCGTCCAAAAAAAATGTCGCTCCGGTGCACATTGAGGGGAAATGGAAAAGTGACTGTGATGAGAGGGGACGAGACGACGGGGAAAAGACGAGCGGTGAACGGATTTGAAAAATAATAATGAAAAATACAGACGGGAGTGGAAGTCCAAGTGTGGACGGGCGGATCGGCTCCCAAGTTCAGGCGAAGTACATGGTGTGTTGGGTGTCATAGTGGATCTGAACCGCCTTGGCCAAAGCTTGGGGGTCACGGCCGTTACTCTGGCCTGACACATGGCTACCCTCAGCACTGCAAGACCATAAAAAAAATAAAAAAAAAAGAGATAAATGTTAGTCTCGCGACACCAACGAACAATTTCCAACGTTTTTGCAAGCTCACCTGTCATGGTCTTTGTCCACCAAATGGTATCGGGCGCGGAAAGCCACCAGCCTGGCGTAGTAGGCGGGCGCCGGGATGGAGACGGAGCGCGTGCAGCGGACGTACGTGTGGCAGAGCTGGTAGGTGAGGAGCTGCAGCTCATCGGCCGTGAAACAGTTGTCGTCCCACAGGACGTGGTAGTGGGACGGACGGCTGGTACCCTGATGCGGCAAATGGATTTGACAGTGGTACCTTGACTCAGAGTTGACATCACGTCATCATCCATGAACACAAGTAGCACTGTATCGTATGAACTCAGAATGGAATTGCGCTATAAATTAGTTTTTTTTGGATTTACAGTCGATTGCCTCACCTGAATTCCAGCGTGGCTGCACAGATAGAAATCAAACTCCGACGGATGTGTAATGGTGCTGTCCACTGTGGTGCCAGCTGGCACGTTACCACTCTTCCCAACCTAAAAGTGACACACGGAAAGAACAACTGTTTATCGTGTAGTTTTACATCATAGAATGAATGTTCGACATTTAAAAAAAAAAAAAAAAAATGCAAACACTTCTGACCCTCTCAGCTTTGTCAGAGCAGAAAAGACGCGTGTGGTGGCGTTTCTGCACCACAATGTAGGTAATGCCGGGCCGATAATCCTCCTCCAGACTGATGCACGCCTTCCTGATAGCTATCAACTCCGGCCATGCTACCTGAAAACATTAATTAAAAAAAAAAAAAAAAAAGGTGTAAACAGCTGTTCATAAAAAATTTAAAAAATTGTTAGTAGCAGTGTTAATCATCAAACAATATTTCCCATACACTGTATTTCAATATACAGTTTCCTATGGGAACATTTTTTTTTTATCATGGGGAATTACAATAGGTTCTATAATAACCTGGGAGTTTGTCTTTTTTTTTTTAAATCATAACTAGTCATTCTAAAAATGGCAAAATTGTAGCCGTTCACCAAATTTCCAGAAATTGATCAGCCTGTGGGAAACATTTCCAGGTGTGAGCATCGGTTAGGGGTGGCCGAACTACAGCCTGATGCAAGATCCTGCAAAAAAGGTTCGGACGACTGCAGAGGCACTCGCAATCCCTGCAGAAACTTTTTATCAACTTGTCTTTTATACAATGCATGGGCTGAAAGATTTTTTTTTTTAAACAAATCCTTTTTCTTTTCACATACGCGTGACGCACTCCCCGAAGTTTTCTTGAAATGTTTTCATTCCACAAGGCAATCAAAGCAACTATTTCACTCAGCAGAAAATGATTTGTGTGATTTGCTTTGTAATCTTCGGTCATTTCCCTTTTAAATGCCGCAGGTGTAGCTGATAAATAAACCAGTTTGAGACTCATATAGCAGTGATCTAAAAACAGTCAAAAGGAAAGCATATTTTCTGCACTCCTCCACGCATAATTAGGAACACGACAGACTGAAGATGTGCGCAATGCGGAACCTGTTTCATCTGGCCTTCAGACACACCGCCCCGGTAGTAGATGATACGAGTGGGCTTGAAGCGCGTGGACTTGTAAAACTGGATCAGGAGCTCCCGCACCATGTTGGTAAGATCTTGGATGACCTCCTGACTGAAGAGCTGCTCCTGAAGAGACCAGAAAGTCTTGTCGTTTCCAAAGACAGGGTGACATTGCTTCTGGGGTTTAAAAAAAAAAAAAAAAAAAAAAAAAACGCTTACAAACCTGGGACATGTCTTGACGGGACGTCTGGACTCTGACTGTAGCGCAGTAACGGCTGGGGGGGCCATCCATGCTGCCCACCACCGCCGCAATCGACGGCTTCTTCCCATCACCCGCTGGAGGGTGAGTGACATCCGCACCCAGGAAGATGACGGGCTGCTGGAACACGGACGGCCTGAAAAAGTCAAAACACACCCCCCCAAAAAAAAAAGTCACGGATGAGCAAACAATTCTTTTCATATTTGCATGAAACCAAACCAAGACAATAAAACAAAGAAAGGCTTCTGAGACCTCTGGTGCGGCACGAGGACGTTGTTGATGCCTCCCAGCTTGGCATTGATCTTGAGGCAGAGGTTCGAGAGAGTTTGTGGGGACGTCTTGACCACATTCTTCACCTGAACACACTGGGTGGCCATGCCGAGGAGGGTGTCTCCCACCCGCTTCACCTCAGCTGCGGAGAAGAACCCACAGGTGACCAAATTGCCAAAGCAAAAATTTTTCAGCCTCATCTAGTTTTACCTCATGCAATGGGGCAAAATAATAAATAAATAAATAAATTTGATAAATGGTGCGCTTACCGTAGACGGGCGTTTTGCCCGGCAGGATGACAACAATTAGCTGCAGACCCACATAGGACATCTTGAGGTGCTTGAACATGGGCTCCACACTGTCCGCTCCTTGCGCGTATTTACAGAAACACGGCTGGCCCTGAATGGGCATCCCGGCATCCTTTGAGATCTTACGCAATTGGTCGGTGAAGCTCCTACCAAAATGAAGCCGGGCTCATTAGCGATCAGCAGAAGACAGCCGAGGCTCTCCATCAAGCGCCAACAGCGTCGCCCGGACTAAGCGTGCCTTCAAGCGCACTAAAAGCTGAGCAAGCGGCGTTTGATTTGATACAGTCTGGCACTCACTTCAGCAGGTCCTCTCTGCACTGTTTCTGTGGCGCGAAGCAGGCCACGGCCCAGACCTTGATCTCGATGCCGGCGTAGAACTGCTTGCCCCTCATGTCCCACACGCCCTGATTGGGCGTGGCCACCGTTTTATTCTGCGGAGAGAGTCCCTACCCTCTTAGTCAACCCCCCGGTTGGACGAGCCGATACACGAGGTTGCTTGCATGAAGAACAGAGCGCGCTTTGTTTTGTCTTCCAATCAAATCCAGTCGCATTGTGGGATGACTTGCACACAGAATATCTTCACTAAGGTTGTAAATCCAAAAAGCTTTCTACTTGGTTAACAAGCTTTACCAAAGTCTGTTAAGAGCCTCGTAGGCCCCTGAGCAAATCACCCAAGTTATTAATCGTGGCCATTTGGCGGCAGCATTGGCGAAGCATTTCTGTAATTCTGAAAGAAATACCCGAATACAGACTTGGATTGAAAGTTTTAAAGGACACATGTGGTATCAGTCAAGGATTATGTCGAAATGAAATCATGGAGTATGTTACAAATGAGCCTTTCCTAGATCAAGTGTGTATCCAGTGACTTTAGGCAGTATTGTTTAGGCAGACAATTGAAACAAAACAGCATACATTTTTAAATGAAAATCGATACTATTCATTCATAGCAATGAGAAATTTAAAAAAGGCTTTGACAAGTCCACATTTAAAGGTATTCACTGGAAGCCGATTAGACTTGCTGTCCCAGGTGGCAAACGGCCAAGCGTTCAACTGAGAGCGGAAGAAAAGAACGCCGGCAGGGGTTGAGAACTTCAATCAAACAATTTGAATGACTGCAAATCAAGCGCAAAATAAAAAATGGGGAAATCCTCCCGAACGCTAATAGAGAAATCAGGATTACATTTCGTGTCAGCAGAATGTCAGTTTTATTTCCTGAATGAAAGCCAAATTGACCCTCAAGTGGCTTAAAAAAAAAAAAAAAAGATTTTACTGCTGGCCACGTGCTGGGTGATAACAAGTCTCATTGACATCCCTGTGGCAACGCATTCATCTCACACCCACTTCCTCGCAATCCCTGAATCCCCATTCAGCCTCTCTCACCAAAGAGGAGCATAGTGCTGGGTTAAGTTGACAGGCTCGAGTGTTCAAATATGGATGCAAACATCTCAGCATTTCCACATGGATCAGCACGAGAACATTGACAGCCATTTTTTGTTTCAAGCACGCGATTTAACGACCTCTCTCTAGATGCGGGCCGGATGGCTGAATTGAGATTCGGTGGGTGAATCAGCAGTCTTTTCGTGATTAGACCAAAGCCACCCATATCATAACCCCCCCCCCCCGCCCCATACACGTTAAGAAATTAAACTTTGTGTACATATTAACATCTTTACTGTCTATTAAATCTGTTATTTGCGCAACAGCTTGGTCCTCAATGTGGGACTAATAAAAGGTCATCTTCTGCGTTTACAAATAACATACCATAGCTCCACAATTAGCGCTGTATTAAAACAATACCATTTAATGCATCATATAATAAAGTTAATTAACGTGGAATGCAATTGAGCACATTGGCGCACCCTCGCCAACTGTTAGTTTCTCGCATGGCGCCTTTGGAAAACTAACTCCTGGTAGCAAGGATCTGCACACTGAGACTGCTGAGTTGCACCACAGGATTCCCCCACGCAGGGCTAGTTCCAGGTCTTGCAGGGCAACTTTATTTAATCGCTGCACTCGTTACCGCATTTTCCGCACGATAAAGCGCACCTTCAATAAATGGCCTATTTCCAAACTGTTTGCATATACAGCATATTTGACAATAAAGTTGTGTCCAATCCAAAAAGCCAATCCAAAAATATAGGGCGCACCGCATTTTAAGGTGCAGAGAACAAAAGCCATAATAGTGGCTGCGGTTGCGCTATGCATCCACTAGATGGAGCTACGCCAAATATAGCTTTATTTATGTTGAGCTTTCACAACTGGCCACAGCTGCAACAAAGCGCTTGAAAGAGCTTTGAAGATACTACGCCCAAGAAATCAGAATATCCATCTATTTAGAAGGCACATCGGTTTATAAGGCGCACAGTCGATTTTTGAGAAAATGGAATGCTTTCAGGTAGGCCTGACAGTGCGGGAAATACGGGAGTTTTTTAAGGTGATGTTAGGCCTTTGATAGAGCCATGTGTGTTTATTTTGATTCAGCACGAATAAGGTGAGCATGAATATCGGTAACTCAATACGTTAACTAGTCCTGCAAACCTGGAAAGAAAAGCCCATCGTCCAAACATTCGCACTGACGTAACGGCAACCCAGTTCATTCATCATTTGGCTCGTCTCCCCAAAAGTGTCGCCCCGTCCCGATACTCACCCTGCCACAGTCCCTCCCTGTGTCTGTACTCACCCGGCCCCCATACTGTAGCATGGGCGCTGGGAGCACTCGTCCGGTCACCTCGGTCATGTCATTGTGCACCACAATGCCAAATTCCTTCAGGTACGGGTCCGGGCCCCCGACCATGCTGTTGCTTTTGACCTGGGCGGCGTGAAGAGAAGGAGAGGATAAAGAGGCGGGGGGGAATATACGGTAATGTGGTTACTTTGTGTTCGATGCGCACGCAAAACATTTGACAGAATCCCCCCGCAGATCCAGTGGCAATTCCAAGAATCTTTACTCACCAGTCTGCTGATCTCTTCTTGTCGGTCAGGGGCGGAGCGTGCGGTCGCTTTGATCATGGTGGACGTCTGGTTGTCTGTCAGTTTTTTTATACAGCGTTGTCCAGCTACGATGTTACAGACCTACATTGCAAGCACCCATACAAAAAAAAAAAGTGAGCACTCATTCAGAGGAATTTTTTTTTTCATTTAAATGATGTTTAAAGTGTATAAAGGAACTCTTCCTCACCTCCAACGGCAGATAAGTGTGCTTCTGTTCCTGCCCGACTTGCAGACAGGGTAAATGTGGATACTTGAGCTGCAGATTGTACTTCTGCTTGAAATACTGAGCGACGGTGCACTCCATTGCCTGGCCGTTCTCAAGCTGTAAGGGGAACCTATCCAGAAAAGGACAACGCGGATCAACGGCAAACAAACAACACAGTCCAATTCGTCTTCATGCAAATTCCCAAAACAAAACTGCTTGAGATTGGAAGTTCGAGGTGACGATATCTGGAGGTCATTTACGTTTGGTGGCTGGCTGGCCGGCGCGTAACATTGCACACGCGATACTTCCTCTTCATCTGACCGCAGTGTGTGACCTCCACTTTCAAGCCTGTTCAAACAAGAAAACAGCGCGACGGCAAAGCAAAGGAGCAGGATTCAATTTCCGCAAACTTTCCAGTGTGCCAGTTGGAAATACAATAAAATCTTAACCGGCGAGGATGTAATGTTACATGTGTGCATCTTGCAAAGGTGAAAGCCTTTCACATGACACTATTTAGCCAACGCTCACCTCTTATTTCCTTGGTAAATTTGACACGCTGCGAATCCGTCAGGGGTTTGGTCTGTTCATTGATGTTCTGTATATCCAAAACTTCGCACATGAATTCAATCACGGGCTGAGCACGGTAGAAAGCAGTGGCCGACACTGGGAGGATAAGAGAGATGCCACATCCAAGAGTACCCATTCATTAGTAGCACATCACAAGCAGAACAATTTCGTGCATGAAATCATCGCAGGGGTGCGAGGATGGGATCGAGTGGAACAGGCAAAAAGAGGAAAGCATGATGTTTATGATGTACAGATGCTTTTTTTTTTGGAGGCTTCGAACAGATTGCAGTCAGGCTGAAGGTCCTATTTCAAAAACAATATTTGGGTCGAAATAGTGCATCGGACTTTCCGTAATGGAACCGCCACAAATCTTGTGCACATATCAGGCCGATCCTCATAACAATAGACCAAGAGCAAAAAGACTATCGAGCTGGAGTTACCCGGGAGGTTGCTGGAGTACAACAAGCAACTTTTCGGAAGTGCGAAGGTACAATAATTGTTCACCTAAACGTGAAGCTTCGGTCAAGCTACACTTGGGACTTTTAATTTAATTAAACTGCATTTGTGGGAGGTGTTGAAAAGACGATGTAACACATGATTAAAGAAACTACGTTTTTGCAGAAAAAAAAAACACAATCACCCTAATGAGACATTTAGAAGATTTCCCTTTTTCACAGTAATTGTATTGTGAAATCTGAAGTCAGCCACAGAGTTGCGGCACAGGCTTACCATCGATGTTGAGCATCATGTTCCACATAGCGGGACGGACGGACTGGTGGAAACCAAACCACACTTCCCTGCCTCCGCCCAAAGGATGGTAGTAGCCCTCGGGAGGAGAAAAAAACGAGCGGCCCACTGGAGTGTATCTGTGGAAAGAGACACCCAAAATAAAAGAATTGCAGACAAAAAAAAAAAAAATCCGTTGCATAGTGTGGAATCCAGCTGAAGACTCCTAAACAGTGAAATGCCATCAGAAGTGAAATGTACTGAATGACGTGTTGTAAACAGATAAAATAAATGAAGACCTCATGGAAGGGAGATGCCGCGTGATGACATCCAGAGCCTGAACCGAGTCCTCCGGGACTTCGTTCAGGTGACCGGACAAGGCTTCAAGGAGCATCTGAAGACTGACCACGGACACCCACTGCAGGGACACCTTGAAAGTTTGATCTTTCCCTTCGCCCGGTAGGGTCACCTCCAGATCCACCTAATCGTGACGGAGAAACTTTAAATCACAGAGCAAGGTGATGGGTGACAACAGCAAGACAAGTAATAACTGCCAAAAGGGCAGAGAGGAGGATTAAGAACTCGAGAGTGGTGCCTTATGAGTGCCCCGTTGACTGTGTTTAAACCATTCTGAGTAAAAGGGGAGCTCATTTGAGAAACTAACCCTGTCTCTTCCGATTGGCAGTGGATGTGCTGTGTACATATTCCTCTTCCCGTCATAGCCAGGCTGTCGATCTCCAAAAATTTGCATCTTGAAGTGCCGCACCATCGTGTCCACCACCTCTCTGGAAGGCAAGAAAATGGGTGTAAAAATTACACTGGAAAAATCATAACACATTCTTAAGAAGGGGGGGGGGGGCGGATCCAAATGTATGCAAAGCTACCTGTTGACCCTCCGCGGCCGCTTCTCAGGCTTGATGTCAATATCATAGTGATAGACATCAATCTTGGGAATCTGCACTTGGAAGTGGTTGGCCAGGAGACGGATGGGTTTCCCCACCGTGCCGAGGCCGGGGCGCCGCGGAGGCTGGAACAGAGCGGTAGGGGCAGGCGGGCCTGGAGACAGGAAGGAACAGCCATTATGGGAAAGCACATTGACGCACACTGCCCAGGACATAAGAACGATTGCAGTGCAGATTCTTGGGGGGGGATTAAAATAAGTCATACATTTTTAATCAAGATGCCAAACTTCAACTGTCTCAAAGCCAGGCTTGTTCACCATTTCATCAGGGTGGCCTGCGCTGAAATAGGCACACGCGCACGCACACAGAGGCACGGTGCAAAAGTGCCGCAATTGATCCAGAACTGCGCCCCCCTTGACCATGTGGGTCAAAGAGGGGCCGGCGAAACAATGCCCTCCAATTATCAGTCAGCCCACCCCCAGATCCACCCAGACATACGAGGGCACCCACCTCAAACACCGAGACAAAGCCGAGGCTTCTCTCAGACAGACAGCAGCAATGCCATATGGAGGGGTGGTGTGCAGAGTCTGGGATTACCGTTACATTTTGTACAAGCCGCAGATATCTTTTTTTTTTCACTCCCAGTCCAACTTAGTATGATTTACTCAGCTTTTAGTCACATTCAGCACGTCATCTATGTGAAAAGAAGCCAACGATGTGCCGTATCGCAGCTCCCTCCTCCACACACCGAGTCATCTCCCTCACATCGACGCTGATTTCCAGCCAAATGGGGAGATGAACGCATCGTAATAGTAGTTCTGCCTAAACATGATCACTATGTTTATCTTCACTTTGAATTCATTGGACACGCATGACCACGCAGACGTTCAGTGTCATCAGCTTTGGTGGTAGGAAGGGCAAAGGGTGGGGGGGGGGGGGGGGGGGGGGGGGGGGGCTGCTTAATGCTTTTTTTCAACTGCCAGCCTAATGTGGGGGTCCCGCTGAACTCCATGGAGCCGCACGCTCCAGTTAACAAGTGAGGCGCGAGAGCACAGACAATCAGGACCCCATTGCCTCCCCCAAAACACAGTCGCCTGTATGACCCGATCAAGAGCGGGCCCCCAAATGACGCACTCCTCCAGCATAGTAGCGGTAGTTTGATTGCTGCCTTGCTATTGTTACCTTTGTGTGACTGTCTGCGCGTGACTCATCCTTCTTGACAATGCGCGGTGCCTTTCTTTCCCGACGTGGCCTTGGTCGAGCTGCGACACAGTCTTGTCGTAACATGCGAGTTTAAGTAAGCTCGGCACTCTACTACAAATGCGCCGCACACATCCACATATTCCAAATTTTGCCGGGGTATAAAAACTTCGAAGCCTCAGTGTGCATTAGACATCTTCATTTACTTGAAGCATAAAAAGAATAAGAGCTTCAATCGATCTATAGCTTCCTCTGCTGGTACTTGAAAAACCCAGCTAAGGCTCATCACAAAATATGACCCCAATAACTAGTCGACATCTTTTTTTTTTAGTACTCCAACCTAAGCGACTCCCTATTTAGAATGAAAGTGAAACCCACTTTTCCTGAACACAGTCAATTCGGCAATTTTTCTGCTGATTATGTAGTCAGTGTGCGTCACTCAGCTTGCATTTAAATGGCCACCTAATGTCCAAAGACCACCGGGGAGAAAAAAAAAAAAAAAAGCTACTTTACCGGTAAGTGGCACATTTCTGCTCTGAATCTGGCTTCCATCGCCATCATGGGGAGTGTAGGCGGAATGGCGAGAGCCATGTAAACACGCCGACATTCCGTAGTCCGCTAATGGATTCAACAAATGACAACGGCGATTGAAAGGTGTGCATTTTACTGTCACTAAATACAGCTTCCTATTAATTTGGGAACCTGCACGATACGAGCCGTTTTCCACTTGCATGCCACTGAACTGCACCCAACAGCACTGTTTGGTGGTAATGGGACTAAAAAAAAATTTTGTAACACTTCTGACCCTCCCCCTGCATTTACATGTGCAGTGATGAAGGCACAAATGTATTATGTTCATGTTGATGTGTCCCTGGTAACCACAGCGTGATGAAGCAGTTGGAGAGCCGAGCCTCTACTGAGCATGATGATGATCGGACCAGGTGATGACTCAGAGACTGAAGCGATCTAAGCAGCCAGGGCACTGATACCCACAACTGCAAATACCTGGATTAAGGAATTTCAGTTCATGAGATCCAACAACAACAAAAAAGCAGTAGCCAAGTGCTGCTGCCCTTACACTGACAACATGTTGAAATGTTGTATTTTCATTGCAAATGAAGCCATGACATTTGGAGATGCATTAAACTTCATTGCATGGGGAGGCTTTTAAAGAGCGAGCCAAAAACAGCATATCACTGCAAATCGTCACACCAAAACAGTTAAGATATAAATGTGATATTATTTCGTGGGGCTCGAAAGCACAGCATGAAGCGCCTCTGTCACCGAAATGCACAGGTGCTGTCAGTGCAGGGGTGTTAAATCATTACGTGCAGTGCCTGTCAGAATATTTTGACTTTCTCCTTTATTCTCTCCTCCCATTACGGCAAACTGCTTCTTCCTTGACCGCCGAACCAAATTTTGGTGGTTTGATAATAAGTAATACAGAACAGCATACTGTATGTGGAGCCTCAAAACCCATTAGAGCAGTGGTTCTTAACCTGGGTTCGATCGAACCCTAGGGGTTCGGTCAATCGGTCTGAGGGGTTCGACGGAGACACACCCGACTCAAGATGTCAATTAGGTATGACACGCCCGCTTGGCAATCGCTGGCTGTAGATGATCGCATTAAATTGCTTGTCCAATCAGTGCTGTGGGAAAATTTAGTTCGCTCAGTCATGAGAGTATGTCATACAATTTTTCAAAAAAAAACCTACACTTATGCCATGTAATTTTATTCAATTTTTTTCTGTTTTTAATAAATGTTTTTTTTAATGTCTTAAAAATATATATATATATATATATATTCCCCCCCCCACAAATGAAGGGTTCGGTGAACGTGCATATGAACTGGTTGGGTTCGGTACCTCTAAAGAAGTTAAGAACCACTGCATTAGAGGGTTGCAGGTGTTCTCGTTGCAGCACGCCTGGAGATGCGCGGTGCTCATTTGCTTGGCGTGCGGGTTGCCTACGCTCATTTTATTGTGCTATGGTCCACTTCATTTGCATTCTGCTGCAAGTTTTCTGAAATTGTCACAGTGCATTATCTGGTTTGATTACAATTTTGTGAAAATCTGAATAGTCGAGGTAAACAAACATGATAAAGCTTCGATGGTGTGCGTGTGAATACACACACCTGTGGATACTTGTCCAATTGACTTTTTTTTCCTCCGCATTCCCTTGGACATTCCACCAAACTAGGATCTGTTAATACATTTCCAATTTCGACTGCCCACAAAAAAAGCACACCAATGCATTACGGGCATGCCTCTCTTTGCGTGCTAATACATTTTAGAATTATGTTGATCTGCTCTCAACAAAGCAGTCTATTACAAACAAGAGGAAGGATGTGTTTATGTTACAAAAAAAAAAAAAGTGGGGGGGAGAATATTTGCAGCTTGCAATTGTTAACGCCGAGTGTTAAGGTGCACGCTTCCTTGCAATAACTGCACAGCCGGGAAGTGGCTTTGTTATCATATAGCAGATGAGTAACATGGAGCATGCCTGCAGCCTTGTGATGGTGAAAAGCGCCATCCATCCAGCCCCGCTGTGTCTTCACATGCGCATGGCAGCTGGCCAGGCAGAGGAGCCCGACGCAATAACACGGCCGCTAAAATCTCTTGTTGAATCGCCAGCGAGTTGTTAAACGTCTTAGTTTACCTGGGCAATCTTTGCGTTTTTTTCCTCTTTTTTTGTTGGTGACGGATCTCGAACGAAGGCAGCCCCGGAAAGCAAAGCACGCTGTCCCGATGGCTCAAAAATAAAACGGCTCGAGAGTAAGGGTGGGAAAAAAATATGTGACACGATTGACTGAACGTCAGCCAGACGGCCTGTTGTCACTGTCCAAAAACATCGTGGTGTTAATCGAAATGAAGAAACGTGTGAACACACGACGACGCGGAAGGAAGGAAGGAGGTCCTAGTTAAATCCCCACTCAACACAATACAGGCTCCGACACGACGAGACGTGCGTGCCTCACATAAATAAAACCACACGGGCATGGCCGCAGAACACACACAATACACACGTATTCGACGTTCGAACACCCCACGTCGATAATGTCACGCAGAGAGACACGCGGGGTGGGTCTGTGTTTGTTTTCCGTCAGTGCTTCGAGGCCTCACTGCAGCCGCGGCCCCCAGTGAAGCCGCACACCTGAGCCCGCGAGTCGCAAGCGCGGATCTCTCCGCGTAATAGCTCGCCTCTCATTTGTCTCATTTCTTACCGGGTCCGAGCGCTTCCATTGCCGAGGCCTCTCTCTCCGACTCTGTCCCGGCCTGGCGGCTCCGTACCGACGCTGAAATTGGGGGCGGTATCGCGAAGCTTAAAGTGGCTAATTTAAGAAAAAAATGGAATAAAAGACAGCGAAGAGTGCTGTTGACTGGGCTGGCTGACCCCAACTACTGATACTGCCGCTTCTGGCGTTGGGGATTTGTAACTGCGCATGCGCGAGTGGGAAGCCCTCAATCGTAATGTGCGCATGCGCGAGTTCATCAGGTGCTCATCAAACTTTAATGACGGCTGATAACGCTAACACATAATCGACAATTAGTCGTTTAAATGTTATCATATGTTTAGCTTCATAAATCCTAATATAAAATGAAGATTATCTTAACAGCTGGATTTAATTCTTATCCATTTTACAGTCAAAATCAGATTTATCTTTTCAGCCAAATATGTTAAAACAGGGTGCTGTGCTATCATTGTATGAGTTATTAAACTTTGTAACTCCCTTTGTTGTGGGCTATTTGAAAATAAAAAGATATTTAAAAAAAAAGAAACTTAAGTTTACGCCCATTTTTACCTTAATTATCAAATGAGATTTGTGCACATATAAATAACAATTAGCAAGGTGTCATCTGTGTTCGTAGTACACTGTTATAAAAAGAAATCAGTAATGTAATCATTACTTTATTTTATTTATACAGTATATATATTTAGAGAGAGAGAGAAAGAGAGAGAGTTCCATGTTGTTAATATCTAGGCCCTCAAAATATGTTAATCATTATAGGGAATAATCGTAAGGGTTTTTTTATACGTAATATAATTATTGCTCCTTGGACCTGAATAATAATCACTTTCCACACGCCTCGATCCCGCCCGCCGAAAAGGTCGCGAGATTTAAATCATGCACGCACAGGTTGTTTAAATGTAGGCGGGACATATGTGTCCTAACGGACCAATAGAAAAGCAAAACGACACCGATTGACACCTCGCTGACGAAAACTATAGTCCAGCTGTCACGGCGCGCGAAAGATAAAAATTTGTGCTGTGAGAACGGGCGGGAGGACGAGAGGCAACCGAGCTAAAGGCGATCTCATTGCAGATTAACGACTAAATTTTCCGCCGTTGTTCAGGCATGAACTTTTTTGGATGCTTTTTGACGCTGCCAAAACTTGACGAGACTTTTGATTTCTCGCCGCTGGTTTCTTTGTGACAAGCGTCGAGTAGCAAGCGGGCAACGAGATGAGCCTGGTCCTTTCTCAACAACAGGTGAGGATATAATTTTCACCAGAAGACATTTTCGCCTGTTGTGTAATAAACTAGAATGTATCAATTCCTTTGTGTGATCAACATTTCTTTGCTATTGTTAGCTTCAGCTAGTTAGCGAGCTAGGCGACTTTGTCGCAGCTAGCTACTTGTAGATTGCCTCGGCCGCTCCCTTCATCGTCTTGGTTGAACAATGTTACATAGCAACCGTGATTCAATTGTAATGTCAGTAATATTTCCCTCACCCAAAATCGAAATGGACACCAGACAAGTTTCCTTTCCACTTAATGATACGAGGCCATCGGCAGCTAACGTATGTGCTCATTGTTTGGCTTGCTGCAAGGCGCCACTCATGTCCTCAAACAATCTTGCACGCCAAAACGCATGCATGGTTCAAGCTGTAGCTGAGAGAGTCCTTCTGAACTGGCTAAGTTGTTCTTTAGGATGTACATAGGACCCCATCGGATGTGCAACATGTGAATGTTCTTTTTAATGTATGTCTACTCAGGCTGAAGGTCTTCCTTCCGCGGCCCCCTCGGAAACCGACAGCGATTCAGACAGTGGAATGGGCTCTCCAGCAGAGGAGATTGTGCCAGAGATGACAAATAACAGAGAGGATCATCCAGGTGAAGTTGCACAACAATAGAGGTCGAATGAGCTGCAGATGGGTCAAATGTTTGCGTGAATGGAGGCCGTGAAGGTCTCAAAGAAGACACTTTTGTAGATGGCTTTATTGGCCATTGATGCGTATAGCTTTCATCATGGATGAAGAGTACATATTATTTGCAAAAGAGCATCTATGCTCACAGTATTTGCACTTTTTCCCCCCACTGTTGTATTTACAGACTCTGATGAGGAAGAAGACATTCAAGTTCGCCGAAAGCCTCGCCGTCATGCCATCAGAGACAGCGACAGCGAGGAGGAGGAGGAGACAGCTGGGGCAGAAACATTATTAATGTCTGCTTCTCGTGGAGAGGAGATAGAAACAGATGAGAAACAAGCGGTTGAAAAAAGCAGGAGAAGAATTTCTGCTCCCGTAGATGACGAAGACAGCGAACCCGAGCAGAAAGTGGATGAGAACAGGCGGAACACTCAGAAGGGCGCCAAAACAACTAAAGATCCAAAAAAGAGGGAGAGGAGCCAGAGGCACCGAGACAAAAAGGAGACACATAGTAAAACGGTAGAAAAACTGAAGACGAAAGAGAGATTCTCCGACTTGAACGAAGTGAGTGATTTTTGGCGTACAGTGTGGTTACTTTTCCATCTACAAGGCACCACTTCCCAGTTCTCTCAAACGTGGCTTTCACAGTGACCCTTTAGCTTTCCTTGAATCAAACGTTTGCGCAATCCTGCTTACAAAAATGAAACAACTTCCCCAACAATCTGTACAGAGAGGAAAAACTGCTTCCGGTGTTGCATCACACCGATAATGACAAGCCTCCTTGCGCGCAGGGTACGCATCTCCTCAGTGCCCCGAATGACAGCGGCTGCCTGTTGGCTGACACGGATCTCTTTGACGCCGGTATCGATGACGAGCTAGAGGAGGAAGAGTCACTTGATTCAATTCGAGCAGCTGTCAAACAAAAGATGAAAAAGCAACAGGTATGTTGAGTTGAACATGACTGTCTAGATTTAAATCAGTTCATATTCAGGCCTTCATGTGGTTCTTTTTTCCAAATATGAATCCAGGCACCTTTCCTGGATGAAGAAGAGGTTGGCAGCGGACATGGAGTGGAAAAGCCCCAGCGTGCAGTAAGCAGTGCCGAATCACTCGGAAATCCTAAACGTAAGGAAGACCAAAATATGAGTTTGACTTCCTATTTTGTGTGCTCTTAGGAGAGAAAAGCTGCACGTGCAAGTAAAGAGGCAATGAAGCAGCTCCACAGTGAGTCTCAGAGGCTGGTCAGAGGTCAGTTGACACACATACACACACACACACACACACACACACACAGTATTTGTCATCAATCAACCTGATGCTTCAATCTTTGATATGCGTCTCTTCGTCTGATGTAGAGTCAGAGCTTGGCTTGCCGTACCACATGCCGGAGCCAAAGACCATCAGCCAGTTTTTTAAGAAGAGAGCCAGGCCAGGGGGACCTGCCATGGCTCTGTTGAAGTAAATGCAAATATGTTGTGCATGGGTCAGGTTAGCTTATTAACAGTCTTTTGATGGCCGGCTACTACCTCAGCCTGACCAGTTGGGGTCTTCATTTTAACATTTTGCTGCTGTCGTAATTCGCGGCGCAAAAAAAAAAAAAGTCTTTCTTTTTTTTTTTTTTTTTTTTTTTTTTTTAGATCTCGACAGTATTCTGAAGTCATGTTGGAGAAACCAACACCACCGCTACCTGCAGTCAACCCCACCAGCGAAGCCCAACAGGCGCCCGCAGAGCAGGACTCCGCTCCCACTCCTCACGACGCATCCTCTCAACTCAAACCGTTACCCGAGCCTGCCGCCGCATCGTCGCCGCAGCAGGAGAACCCGACGAGTCAGACGAGCGACGCCGCTGCTGAGATCTTCAGATCCGACGGGGGATTCGCTCCGATGCTTTATCTCTCGGAGAGTTTGCAGGAGTCGCTTTCAGCAGATGCTTCGATGAAACCCACATTCGAAGAAGGGGGTCTTTTGAAACAAACCGAAGCGCCGTCGAACATCCAGCGAGCAGAGGCCGGACCCACAGCTGCGGTCGAGCCTCAGTCTACATCTTTTGCCGATCCCGTCACTGTCGAGCCTTTCGCGCCGCTGGCAAGCAAGCCAAAGATGGACAAATTAGCCCGACTAAAAGAGCTAGGACTGAACCCCCCGCCTGTTGCTAAATTGTGCGCCAATGCAGGAGATTTTATACTCCTCGATCCAGCGTCGCACAACCCAGGTCGGTCATGCTTTTTAAAACTTAACGTCACAGCCGCCGGCCCGTCATTCCTCTTACCTTGCATCACCCTCGCTCGATATTTGCTCAAGCAGGCGTTGAGGCTCTGAAGAAGCGCTACCTTCGTCACATCCACGCTCCGGTCCGGCCGAAGGGAGAGCATACGTTGCAGCTCAACATCATCCGTAAAGACAGCACGGCGTCTGGCAAGGAGGAGTTGTGTGCCGAGTCTGTCACCGTCACCGTTAAAGAAGGACAAGAGGACCCAGCGCCAACCAAACCTGGTATGAAATCAAATGTGGACATCATGCAAGTGATGTCTCGTCTCAAATAGATCTCCAAAATGACACGGGCATGAATGATGATATCGCGAGGGGCCACTGTTTCCTGCTTCGTTTTGGAGCCAGTGTTGTTCTTTTGACAAATAGTGGCCTCTTTTTCACAGGAGAGAAATTGTTGACCCTGAAGCAGCGGCTGCAGCTCGCCATGGCGCAGCGGAGGCAGGAGGAGCGAGTGCGCAAGGCCGAGCTGAATCGCCTCGATAATGAAGACTGTGGGGAGGAAGAGGAGGAGGCCGAAATGACAGACGAGGACGATGAGGTGGGCGTTTTTCTCGTTACCTTGGCGCCAATGTGGTTTTGCCCCTTCTGCTATTGACGTTCACTTCTGGTTTTATGTTTCGCAGGGTTTAGATGAATTGTTGGGAGGCGATGACGAAGAAGAGGATGGCAGCGGGGTGCAGAGTACACGAAGTTTTTCCCCCGTGGCACTGAATTGCCCGTCAGTAACTCCGGACATAATGAACACTGATGGCACCCTCATACTGTTCCCTGGCAACTCCTGCTCTCGCACCGGGTAAGTTGGTTATATATTTGCAGTTCACCTGCGTAGTCACTTTCCGATCCCGACACTTTCCAGTAGCTGAGAGAGAGAGAGAAAGAGAGAGAGAATTATGACTTTGCTACGGCATTCGTGATGGCTCATTGTGACCTCTGACCTTGCCACCGTAGTCAGGGAAATCTATCTGCTGTGTGCAGATTTTATTTTTTTTTTTGTGTGTGTCTACTGGTCACTGTGTA